ACTGGTTGTGAGAGATGCTTTTCATGTATACTAATTGTATATATGTTTTGTGTACACTTTGTGATAACCGGTTCTGAATATATACATATATATATAGAGAGAGAGAAAAAAAAATATATATATATATATATATACATATCATATGTAGATATGTGCCCATGTGGCAAAATTGATAAATGCAAAACAATACGAACATCTTTCCCTTCATCTCCATCCGTCTCTCTCTCTCTCTCTCTCTCTCTCTCTCTCTCTCTCTCTCTCTCTCTCTCTCTCTCTCTTATGTTACTGGAGTCTCGACAAACTGATCCATCCTGTGGTCCAATCCCACGTATGTCTCTGTAGTCTCAACCAACTACTTTGCAATGAATCTGAACCTCATTCAGGCACGCATCGCCCCTCAGCAAGCTACTCGGCGCCCTCGACTCCCAGTACCCTCGTCGTCGTCGGGTGCACGATCCCTTGCGCAACGGTCCATTTCGGAGTTGTGGTGCGGACAATCTGCAAGCATTGCTGCCAAAGTCAACGCCGAGGCCTACACGAAGGAATGAACTTGGCCGAGAAATCCTCGTCATTGCAAACAAAATATGGCGCACTTACAACAAGCCGCCACACACCGTCCCGATAAACAGTGTCGTAGTGTGTTTCCAGTTTACGAAACACAAGCGGGTAGACAATATCATACATTTTATCTCCTTCGACAGGATTCAGAACGAGGCTATTGAAGTACGAAGTGGGCCTGGACATGAGCACCCGAACGTGGTCGATGGCATGATGATGGATGTAAGTCTTTGTTGTGAGTCTTATGACTCGTTCGTCTTCCACGGCGACAACAAAATGTCGATCCTCCATTTCGTGCCTGTCTTTGTACTCCAACACCTGTTCGACAGGCTCTGTAACCGAGTTTTGCGACTCGTAATAATATACGTTCTCACCCGTAAGGAGTTTTGTGGAATGGTAGCATTGGAAAATCATTGGCGCCAACCGCATAGTCGTTGCTTGCGAATGGGGAGTCGAGGAAGCTGCGGAACACACAAAGCTTCACCGTAAGCAACAAAGCAACGATTTGCATAATACAAAGGTGAGGACCACAAGGCGTGTCTTCTTCATATGCACACACACATAAAACGAGGTGTGAATGTCGCTTCCGTTTCCGGTAATTAGTCTATATATAACTGTTGCACACACACATACACACACACACGCAACCGGCAGACGACGTACGATAATAACAACAATATAAATCACAGATTTGTATGTCACATCATATGCATGTCACAGAGAGAGAGAGAGAGAGAGATGTGTGTGTAACAGAGAGAGTTCGATAACATAATGCTAGAGATAATTCACGAAGAACAGTAATGTTGTTCACCACATATAAAGTCCCGTGTTGTGCTCTCTCTCTCTCTCTCTCTCTCTCTCTCTCTCTCTCTCTCTCTCCTCCTCCTCAACTCTCAAGTTTCTGACTCCAGAGAAGGCAGCCGACATCAGCACACACGCTCCATTTTGACTAAGGTTAAGATAACGGACCT